GAATGATTTTCCACTTAAATACACATAACCTGCTAACGCAAGAGCAATTCCGCTTTGAAAAAACTCTTCAACTACATTAGCTACTTATAATCTAATGGAGAATATTTATAGGGCATTAAACAACAAATATATAGTGGTTGGAATTTTTTGTGATCTGAGTAAGGCTTTTGACCGAGTAAATCATGATATATTGCTATCAAAAATGGACTTTTATGGAATTGAAGGAGCTGCTCAGAAACTTATAAGATCCTATTTGAGAGGAAGATACCAGAGAGTAATTTTGTATGAAAACGGGAGTAAATGTTGTTCTGAATGGAAAGAAATACAGTGCGGAGTGCCTCAGGGCTCTGTATTAGGCCCAGTGCTCTTTTTACTATATGTAAATGACTTACCAAAAATTATATCTGACCTATCCAAACCAATATTATTTGCAGATGATACAAGTATCCTTATCTTTGATAAGAATCCTGCAACATTTAAAATTAGAATAAATAAATTATTTGAGATGATAAATGAATGGTTTAGGAAAAATGAGCTAGTAATAAATTATGAAAAAACTTATTTTCTACACTTTAGAACTAAAAACAGTAAAAACTTAAATGTTCAAGTTAGTTATTTAAACAATCAAATTCCAAGTATTTCTAATATATCGTTTCTAGGATTAAAAATTGAAAATCTTTTAACGTAGGAAAGTCATATTGATGCAGTAATTGATAAGTTAAACAGATCCTGTTTTGCAATCCGATCAGTTAAATCCTTTTTACCACTGGAGACATTAAAAATGATGTACTTTTTCCTATGTACATTCTATAATGACGTACGGATTAATATTCTGGGGTAACCCCCGCATAGTATAAAAGTGTTTAGGATGCAGAAAAGGATAATTAGGATTATAACAAATACAACAAAGAGAACATGGTGTCTTAGTTTGTTTCAAGAATTGAATATCCTCCCCCTACAAGCTCAATATATATTGTCGATCTCTCTGTCTGTCATAGTAAATAAGGAATTGTTCACATTCAACTCACAAATGCATAATTGTAGTACCGGATCTATCTGTGATCTGCATTATCCACAAACTAGTCTAACAGAATTCCAAAAAGGAATATATTACATGGGGGTAAAGATCTTTAATCATTTGCCACCAAAAATCAAGTCTATGTCTAATGACTTGAAAAATTTTAAAATTCAGTTGACAACATTTATATTGCAAAACTCTTTTTATACATGTTATGAATTCTTTAGTAACAAATTTGCCTAGAAGTAAGGATAATAACATAAACAATTTTAATATTGCATAATTTTATGTATAGTGATGTAAGACTGTAAATTTAATACATGTTTCTTTTTATACAGGTGATGAATTCTTCAGTAACAAATTTGCCTAGAAATAAGGATAATAGCATAAACACTTTTAATATTGCATAATTTTATGTATAGTGATGTAAGACTATTTTTTGATATAAATTTAACACATGTCTTTTTATCTATTTTAATGATTATAAACTGTACATATATATTTATATTTGTATTGTACTATATTAACTATGTGACTGATTCTATATCTATGTATATGGATTTATGGAATATACAATAAATGAATGAATGAATGAACAAAATCCAGAGGCAGACAACAGATAAGGAATTTTGGAAAAGTACTTAAGGAAAAACAATAGCTGTAAATAATATTTTTAAATAAAGTGAAATTTAGAATTTGTTATCACAGTCAAAGGAAATAACAAACTGCTACGGGTTTTCTGGGTAAAAAAATGAATAGAACAGGGATACTGAGAAGGATAGTACAATTAAAATTTAAAGGAAAGTGATTTATGGGGCAGCCCTGAAGTGGATAGTTTAGCAAGGTACTGGAAAATGACTAGCAGGAACTTGAAAAGGAAAGGTTGTGTAGAAAAAAAAAGAGATTCAGGCTTGTCATCAGTTGGCCTCTGTGAAATGGAAATGATACTAAAGAAAGAGGAATAATGTTTGAATGCAGCTAATTTGCTGCTTGATAGAAATATTTTGTCTCTTTTATTGTGACCAAGAAAATAAAATTCATGAGTAACATGTACTTACGGCTTAATAGTTCTAATTAGCAGTTTATTAGATGCTTTCCCATGATATCTTCAGAATGAGAACACACTTCTGCCATTATTACAGAAGTGTAATACAAGTTTGTTCCAGCATGTCTCGCAAGCTTCCATGACTGCTTCATCATTGACGTTGTGCTGGCATCTTACGGGATACTTGTAGGGCCCAAACAAGTGACAGTTCAAGGTGGCAAAATTAGGAAGCCTTTTACCTATTTTGTGATTGTCACAGTGTAAATCATGCACTCTCACCTTGAAAAATAATTGCTTCTCATGAAACGTGTGTTGCAGCTTCTTGAATGTTGTACCATAGAGGTCTGTATGGATGGTTTCCACTTTGCACAGGGAATCAACCAAACAGCAGTCCTCAGCAGCCTAAAAGATAATTCTCATAGCTCTGCTATCCAAGGATACTATTTTGGCCTTCTTCACTTCTTCATTTCAACATGGATGATGTACACA